CCTGAGGTGGTGGTTGGTGGCTGGGCTGGGACGCTGAAGCCCCTGGGAGCCCTGAGAAGGGCTCCTGTCCCTTACCTTTCTGAACCCCGTGTCCTCCGCTGCTCTCCTTGCCCATCTCACGAGATCAAACAGAAGAACACATGTCGCAGAATGCTGAAACCATGAAGGAAGGCTCCAGAGTGCCAATGAGGTTCCAGAAGGAACTTGAGAACCATTCCCCAGGGCCGCTCCATCACCCACATCTATCCAGATGTGTCTTCTCGCCGTGGCTCTGCCACCATGCCCTCCTGCCTTCTGTGCACACTTCTCTAGTTCTTCTCCATGTGGCAGGAAGAGTGAGCTTCATAAATACGGGCCTGAAAGCCTCAGGAGCCTGCCAGTGCCTTTCAGACCTTACCGGGACCTGTCAGGGGACCTGAAGGTCATGAGCTGGCCCTCCCACCTCTGCAGCCTCCCAGACCCCTGCTCCAACCTCATCCCCACCCCCCCACCCCATCTGCCTGGGGCCTCTGCCCTCGCCAGCGCTCTCCCCCTGCACAGCTCGGCTGTGTCCCTTCCTTGAGCGAGCGATGCTTCTGCTCCCTGTTCCTTCCCCTTCAGCCTTTGGTCAGAGTACTTACCTAACACCTGGCCACTGGGGGTGGGTTTTTAATTTAAATAGAGGATAAAATTTGCCATCGTCCCCATTTCTAAGTGTACAGTTCAGTAGTGTTAAATACATGGATGCTGTGGAGCAGCCCATCTCCAGAACCCTATGCTTGCGGAACCACAACTTTGTGGCTATTGACTAGCAACTCCCCGTTTCCCTCCGGCCCCCGCTCCCGAGCGATCTGGTTTGTGTCTATGAATCAGACTACATACACTTGCAGGTTCATCTGTGCCGTAGCCCACGACAGGATTTCCTTCCTTTTTAAGGCTGAGTAATATTCTTTTGTGGGTCTACATACTGCATTTTGTTTGTCCATCCAGCTGTCCATAGGCACTTGGCTCATTTCTGCCTTTGGCTATTGTGAAAAGTGTTGCTGTGAACATGGGTACACAAAAGTACTTGGAGATCCGGCTTTCAGTTGTTTCGAGCACGTGCCCCGAAGTGGAATTGCAGGATCATACGGCAACTCTATTTTAAATTTTTTTTGATGGAAATATAGCTGACCTACAGTGTCGTATTAGTTGCAGGTGCACAACATAGTGATTGGACAGTTCTGTACACAACACTGTGCTCCCCACCCTGGGTGTTGTTACCATATGGCGATATTACAGTGTTGTTGACTCTATCCCTGTGTTGTACTTTTCACCCCCCTGACTTAGTTTACAACTGGTAGGGTGTACCTCTTAATCCCCTTCACTTATTTCACCCATCCCCCACCGCCACCCCCACCCTCGGGCAGACACCAGTTTGCTCTCTGTATATAGGAGTCTGGTGGTTTTTTTTTTTTTTACATGCCGCATATAAGTGAAACCATAAGGTATTTTTATTTGTCTGACTTCACTTAGCATAATACCCGTAGGGCCCATCCATACTGTCACAAATGGCAAGATCTCCTTTTTTTATGGCTGAGTAATATCCGATTACATCTTCTTTATCCATTCATCTTCTCAGTGGACCCTCAGGCTGCTTCCATAATGTGGCTGTTATAAATACTGCTGCAGTAAACATAGGGGTGCAGATATCTTTCCAAATGAGTGATTTCATTTGCTTTGGGTCAATACCCATAGTAGAACTGCTGGATTGTATGGTAGTTCTATTTCTGTTTTTTGGGGGGAACCTCCATACTGTTTTCCACAGTGGTTGGACCAATTTACATTCCCACTACAGTGCACAAGGCTCTCTATTCTCCACATTGTCACCAACGCTTATTTCTTGTCTGATTATAGCCATCTGACAGATGTGACGTATTCTCCCATTGTGGTTTTTGATTTTGATGAGTGATGTTGAGCATCTTTTTATGTGTCGGCCATCTGGATGTCTTCTGTGGAACAATGTCTATTCAGGTCCTCTGCCCATTTTTAATCAGATCATTATTGTGTGTGTGTTGACTTGTATAAATTCTTTATATATTTTGCATATTAACCCCTTATTGGATAGATCATTTGCAAATACCTTCTTCCATTCTGTAGGTTGCCTTTTTGTTTTATTTCCTTTGTTCTGCAGAAGCTTTTTATTTTGGAGTAGGCCCAATAGTTTATTTTTGTTTTTATTTCCCTTACCTCAGGGGACAGATCCCAAAAAAAGTTGCTAAGGCTGATGTCCAAGAGATTACTGCCTATGTGTTTGTTTAGGAGTTTTTATGGCTTCAGATCTTATGTTTAGGTCTTTCATCCATTTTGAGTTTACTATTTTTAATATTTTAGGAACTACCGTACTGCTTTCCATAGTGGCTGTCCCATTTTACATTCCCACAGTCTGTGTACAGAAGCTCCAATTTATCTACGTCCTCACCAACACTTGTTATTTCCTGTCTTTTGGTGTTTTTTTTTTTTAAAAAAAAGTAGCCATTCTAATGGATGGGAGGTTGTATCATGGTTTTGATTTGCATTTCCCTAATGATAGTGATGGTGGGCACTTCGTCATATACCTGTTGGCCATTCGTATGTCTTTTTTTGATAAATGTCTATTCAAGTCCTTTGCCCATTTTTTTACTCTGGTGGTTTGTGTGGGTTTTGCTGCTGCTGTGTTGTAGTTTCAGCCTCCGGTTTTTTAGTGTGAGTATTTGGTGTGCACTCACGATGCTCCAGGAGGGCAGGGCCGGGCCCACCTTGTTCATGGTCTTCTCCTGGCACCCAGAATGGAGGCGTGCACTTGGGCTATTTGTTGATGGAAAAACACGCATGTCGCTCTCAACAGCGAAGGGATGAACGACTATATTCACGCGCTCATTCTTGTTTCAAGAGGGATCGAAAGCAAGGGTCGCATCTCTTTGGAACCATGGTATTTGGGGTGAAGAACGGCAGGTGGCCCTGAAGAGGCTTTAAAGAAGATAATCCAAAGTCTTGACAGGTGTTGTCTCACTACTCTGGGACCGTGCTTGTTTGGTTGAATATAAATCCCATTTTGCCTGGTAATGCTGGTCTCGATGAAACTTTGCATGTGTTTATTTTATGGTTTCAAAATATGCCCCCATCGAGTGTGTGTGCTTTGGTCCTCCCTTCTGAAGGAGGCGGGGCAAGTGTCCTCCCAGCTGTCCTCCCACCTCCAGTGCCTTCTCCGGCCCCCATGCCTGCCTCTTCCCCACGCACCCCCACCCAGCCCTCAGCCCCTGGGAGGGCCCGGCGCCGCGTGCTGCCCCTTCTCACCGACGGCCGTCGTCCTGCTTTACTGCAGGCCTCTGTGGTTCCCGATGTGGATCACGGCGGCAGAGCCCCCCTGACCAGTGTCTTCACCTCCAGGCATGCCATCATTCACCGTTGCTGGAGTCCACTTCCCCAAGCCCATATTTCATCATTTGCCTGTTGAATCTGAATTCTCCGATGTGTCCGTGTTGCCTTCAGGATCAAGTCCACCCCCTTTCACGGGGCACCCAGGCATTCACTGTGGCCTCCCCCGCCACCCTGGCCTCATCCCCTGCATCCTCTGGAGATGTCGCCGCCTCTGCCTAGATGCTCCTCCCCCACTTGACCACCTGTGCTTACCCCCAGGTTCCGACGTTGTCCTGTCCCTCCCCCCCCGCCACCCCCACCCCAGCCGGTGTTGGGCCCTGGCCTGCCGTGGCTCGCTGGGGCGCTCTGTGTACCTCTTGGCCCCGTGTGCCTGTCCGTGGGGTCATTGTACGTTTGCTTGTCCGTCTCCTCACCGGTCTGCGTGCTCCGAAGCTGGGCCAGTGTCTCTCCTCTCCACACTTTGGCAGTTAGCCCGGGGCCCCTCACAGGCAGGTCCTTGTGGAAAGGCGGCGGCAGAGGAAACAGGCAAGTCTGTCTGACCTCGGGGCTCCCGGGCTCGCTGCCCTCCCACCCCTCGGCACCGTGGACCGTCCATTCTCCTAAGTCCAGGGTGGCAGAGGGCGGGGCGGGGCTCTGCTCCGTTCTGTGGCCACCCTGAAGCTCCCCGACCCCCGTCTACCTTCTGGTAAATGCATCCCGGCAGAGAGCGATGACTCATGGGTGTGTGACTCGGCGTGCGAGTGGCAGAGATCCAGGCCTGGGTTCACGAGCCCTGGCATCCCTAGCCTGCTAACTGGAACGAAGGTAGAAACCCTCCTCTGTCCGTGGAACACGAGGCTGCCACCACAGAGCTTTACAAGGCTTGTACGTCTGGGATTCTTATCTGATTTATTGCCATTAAGTGATACTTCATCCAACTGCCATTTATTGCATGCTCGCCATGGGTGTAGACACGGTGATCAGCATCTCGCATACAAATAATTTCATTTAATGCTCACGCTAGCCCAACAACAAAAATAGTCACAAATACATCTGTAGCACTTTCTGTGTGCTAGATAGAGTTCTGAGCCCTTTGCATTGAAGTCCTCTGATTCTCAGGGAAACCCTACGATACGGGAACTGCTTTTGCCCTCATTTTACAGATAAGGAAACTGAGGCACAGGAAGGTCACATAGAGCGGTGTCCCAGCGTCACATAGGAAATGACAGAGCTGTGATACAAACTCAGGCTTCTGAGTCCACACTTCTAGCCCCCACTGCATGCTTCCCTACTGAAGGCTGCAGTCCCATCTTACAGGGAAGGAAATTGCGGCTCAGAGAGGTTGGTTACTTCTGCCTAGTCACACAGCCAGGGTGAGCTGGAGATTGCTTGTCTCCCACCCTGCCTCCTAACCACCGTGCTCTCCTGCCCAGAGGCAGGGGAGGTAGTCATCATGGCATAACCCTCCCCGTCGGCACTTCCCAAGGGCCGCGTCCAGAGGTTGGGTAGGATTCTAGGGACGAACCTGTCTTCTGCATCTAGGGGTACAGCACGGCACATTCTGCTTCAGAGGTCTCCAGTTTGGGGTCCCACAGCACTTCCTCAGCCCAGGGATGCCGATGTGGCTCTTCTTACCTCCACAGATAGTGAGACCGTGCACTACCACTATGGGCCCAAGGACCTGGTCACCATCTTGTTCTACGTCTTCATCACCATCATCCTGCATGCTGTGGTTCAGGAGTACATTTTAGACGTGAGTGACGCGTGTGGGTCCTGACATCAGAAGCTGGGGAGATGCCACGGGCAGTGGGGCCTCACCCCAGAGGAGACTGCAGCTCTGGGCCCCTTTGCTTCCTAATTTGTGTGCCCTGCTTGGTCCTATTGATTGGACATCCCTTGCCACACACCGTGGTTTCTGTCCCCGCTCGCAGCCTTCTCAGCGCATGGGACGGCAGCACTTAATGATGTGAGGGCGTCACACACCTGAAATGGCAGGGCAGCATCCTTATGGGTCTGTCCTCTAGCCTGATCGGGGGATGTTTTCCTTACATGTAGGCTGAAGACCTCCATCTTGCCACTCTCTCAAAATGCTTGCCTTGAACTGAGCGCTCTGTGCACACAGCAGGCTTACACGGACTAGCCTGGGTCATGGCCACCTGCTGCCCTTTCATGGGTGGGAAATGGGAGTTCGAAGCCCACGCATTACCCATCCACCTGCATATATTAACATGCACGATTCTCTTTATTCCTTAGAAAATCAGCAAACGGCTTCACCTCTCCAAGGTCAAACACAGCAAGTTCAACGAATCTGGGCAGCTGGTCATCTTTCATCTCAGCTCGGTGGTATGGTGCTTCTACGTGGTGGTGACGGTGAGTGGCCCTGGGGACTGGGGCCTGGGCTGCGGTGGCGCGTCTCTTCTCGGATTGCTAATAAAATAACGGCGGGGCTGAGCTGGGAAGGAAAAGAGGCAGGAGCAGTTTGTAAAAACTTTGAGCGGTTTCTTGGAACTGAAGCTATTTTTGCATCCTCGTGGTACGAGAGGGGCCAAGTGGTATAGCTGCTCTTCTATGGCTGGAGAGAGCCCTCTCCCAAAAATAGTCACAAATACATCTGTAGCACTTTCTGTGTGCTAGATAGAGTTCTGAGCCCTTTGCATTGAAGTCCTCTGATTCTCAGGGAAACCC